ACTTTTCCCCCTTTTTCATTGGAACACTATGAGAGTCAAGCACAGGATGCTGGAAGTAAATTTCCACACCTACCACACACACACACACACACACACACACACACAACACACACACACACACACACACTTCAAAAAAAAGGAACCAAGGGGAAGAGGGAAGAAGGCATAGTTACAGAAGCTTGGTCCTTTTCCAAAAGTATTGTTCTGCTTCGTTTTTATCGTTGTGCCAGTGGAATGAGAATTCTGAGGTTAGAGAGGGAATAAAAGAAAGAGGAACTGGAAATGGGTGGAACGTCAAGATGAGAAGGAAGAGGACTAGAAAAGGGAGAGAATCCCAACCCATTAAGTGGTTATTAAACACCCACTGTGGAAAACACTGTGTTCAACAGTGGGATGAATGAAAAACAATTCCTTCTCAAGCTTATGATGTGCTGTTGGGTGGAGTTAAGAAGGAAGAGAAAGCTTTGAGTAACCAAAACTTAGAAATGAAGTTGACAATTCAAATGCTGCTTTGTTCCCATGGTTTAGACACAGGTTTTTCCAATTTTCAAAAATCATGAAACATTTTTTATTCATTTTCCAAATTGTGGAACCTTAATCCATGGTAAAACTGTACTATTTATCTTCTCAATAAGTCACTGACTGAACTGGGGAACAAATACACCAAAGAAAAGAAGAGAGTATGATTTGGAGGTAAAATAACAGGATTGAATTCAGATATATAAAACAAAATGAGAAACAGTCCTTACCTTCAAGAAGCTCATAGTCCACATTTCTTAAGTGTAGGTCTCGCTGTGTCACTTCCCTATTCAATACATGCTGGTGGTTCCTTAATACTTCTCTGTTTGGATTTTAAAGCTCTTTACAATCTGGCCTTGATTTCCCTTTCCAGACTCATTCTCCTTTACTCTCCTTCCTATACTCTACAGTTGGGGCAAATTGGCCATCTTACTATTCTTCACACAGAGCACTCCATTTCCCTGTGCTTGCATTGGCCAATCTTGGAATGCTCTCCCTCCTTACCCCTGCTCAGAGAATTCTCACTTTCTTGATGACTCAGCGCAAGCACTAACCGCCTTCTATGCTCTATGGGAGTGCAGTGAGCCCTCTAACTCCTCCCTCCCTAGCCACCTTGTATTTATTTTGATTTTATATATACATATATATGTATATATGTATATATATGTGCATATATATATGTATATATACATATACACACACACACACACACACACACACACACACATACACACACAGGTCTTCCCAACAAAATGTAACCACCTTAAAAGCATGTACTTTGCTTTTTGTCTTTATAGCCCCAGCATCTAGTGCCGAGTTCATAGTAGATACTTAATAAATTCTTACTGATTATTGACTGATTGATGGAACTGAACTCCATTTGTGAAATATCCTTATCAGAACTCTACACAAGAGTTAGGTAGACCTTTGTCTAGATGATCAACTTTTAAGCTTACTCTTTCAGACTTGGTAAGATGCATTCTAGAACTTGTTTTGGTTTATTGTTGGAATGATTTATTTATAATTTTAAATAAGAATTGAATATCATCTCATTGTTATTTTATCCAAGGCAGATTCATTCTGAGAAGTGCAATTCAATTGGACAAGCTTTTCCTAAGCACAGGCAAGACACTGTGTTCTAGGTTAGAAATACAAAGATGAAAAACATCATGGAGCCTCCTCTCAAAGAGTTTACACAGTCATAGAAAGGGTGCTGGTCAGTGAATGCCTATGATACATGGTAGATTGTGATAAGAACCACAGAGAGATGCAAAGTAGGGAAATTTGTGGGTGAAGAGAATATTTTCATTTGGGTTGGAGAAGGCAGGGATCAGAAAATTATTCCTAGAGTAAGTGGCACCTCAGCTAAGCCCTGAAGGAAGAAAAGGATTTTTAGGAGAAGATAAAGTGATGGGGAGCAAGGAGGGGCAGCCATGTGGAGTGTTTGTTTTCATTGTCAAAACAATAAATGGAGTCTGCGAGTGACTGGGTTTCACAAAGTGGTTCTATGGAACAGAGGTTTCACAGTCCCTTTTCTGGACCATGTAGATAGGCCCTAATTGGACATGCCTTACACATGGTATATAATGTAGTATGTAATGAATGTTGAATGAATGGGTACCTTTGAATCTACGTCTGTTTTGTCTTCATGATCAATTTAGAACAGTGGCTACTATAGGTAAAGCTGAGTACCACAGCAGCATTTTCTATAGGGTATTGTCAGTGCTTAACTCTGCCCAGGAAGACAGAACATAGCCACGTGGGAGGCAGGTGCTGATAACTCCAATCACTTCTGCATGAAGAGCACCAGTTCCAACACAGTGAGCCACCCAATTAAAAAAATATGAGGTTGGAGGAGCAAAAAGAAAAATCACCAAGATAAACCCAACTATAAATGTAACTCCAGAGATTTTTAATTCTCAAGCATATAGCTATAGTTTGGATCTAAGCACTGCTAGGCAGTTACCAAATAGAGCTGTCCAAAAACGAGAATGGCAGGCTTACTGTGGTGTACTTCATTTCCCAACACTGGAGATATTTAAACAGAAACCAGATTACTACTTAGCAGAGATATTGTAGAGGAAATACACAGGGCAAAGTAGGTTAAACAAAATGACCTCTGAGGTGCCTTATAACTCATGATCAAATGAGATATATACAAAGCATTTTGCAAAGCTAAAAGGACTTTCTAAATATTGGTTGTTGTTATTTGTTATTATTATCATTATTTTATGACTATCTCTCCCTAAATGATCAATAGAGGAGGAGTTAGAGGCAATATATGGGTGGATATGGCAAGATCATACCTCATGAGGATTAATTGAAGAAACCAGAGATATCTATCCTAGGGAAGATGAGCGCGGGGGCATGATATTTGTCTCAGAGTATTTGAAGGGCCATCATACAGAAGAGAGACTGACCTTACTCTGCTTAGCCTCAGAGGTCAGAAGTAGGAGCAATGTGTAAAAGTTGCAAAGAAGCAAATTTTGGTTTGATGGAAGGAAAATCACCCTAGCAAGGAGTGCAGTGGAGAAGTGGAATGGGCTGATTCCAGAAGCAGTTGTTTCTTATCTCTGGAAATCCTCGAGCAAAGGCTGGTTGAGCACTTTGTGGGTATGATGCGGAGGGAATGCTTGTTCAGGAACAGGTCGGACTAGATGATCACTGCTGATATTCTCTAACAAAGCTGGTGTTTGAAGGAAAACTGCAATACCTGTTATCTAAAGTGTGCCGCATCCAAAAGCAAGCCTTAGCAGGAAAAAGAAAGATGGGTGTAGTTCATGCTTTACTTTGTGACAAGGGTTGGGAGGAATTGAGACTTATCTGGAAACAACTGTGATATGAGAACAAAAGTCTTCAACCAAATTAAAAAGAAACACTTTGTTTACAAACTTTCAGGCACATTCAGTTTTCCACCAGTAGCCAAATGGAAGCAGGATTGAAATCTGGGGGTGTCTCAAAAATATGATTGCCTCTGGTTCACCCAACACATGGCTCTATCAGGTATAGAGGTTGTGGGGAGCTGAGCCATTTGTATTTAACAATGAATCTGCCTCCTCACCAATAAAGGAAGATCAAAAACACATTGATTAAGGTGGCTACTCCTTATTACCTGAGACCACAAGCAAGTTATTCAACTATTATATTTCCTCATCATTAAAATGAATGGGTTGGACCATCCTATGAATTCTATTTTGTTCAAAGTAACATATAAGATATTAGAAGAGATTCAAAGGAAACCTGTTTGCATGGAGCTTATAGTGTAGTAGGGGAGAATATATCTGAGTAGACTGGCATCAGGGACAGGTGAAAAAAGTTACATTACAAAGATACTGAAGATAAATTATGTCATGCTAAATTTGTGTTAATTTTTTTCCATAAGAAATTAATGTGAGCCCGTATTTCTCATAAAATATCTATAGCCTTTAGGAACAGTTAGTATTATGGTATTATCACCATTTATTTGGAATCGTGAGATCCAGGTTCAAATCCTAGGTCCAATTCTTGCTATTCCAGGAGCAAGTCAGCTCTCCTTTCTGAGCTTCATTTTCTCTATCTGCAAAAGGGAAATGATACTTGCACTACCTCACAGGATGATTAGGAGAAAAGCACTTTTGTCAACCCTAAAGCAGAATATGTCTGTGTTTTAAGGAGCTGTTTATCAGACAAGGAAAATAAATCAAATAAAGACAGGTCAAGTGATTTGCCTAACAGTTATCAGAACACACAGGTTCTGAAGTCTTGGTTTAAGTTACCTTCACTGCTAAATGATTCTGTCACTTACTGCCACAAGGAAGTACCAGGGTATTAGCTATAGAGACCATCATGCCTTTAAAAATTTACAGATGCACTGATTAAGTGCTTCTTGAATCTAAGTTGGTGGGATAAGTTAGGTAATAGATTGGATAAAGAACTCTGTAGTCAGGAAGATATGAATTCAAAAAGTTAAGTCAAAAAGTTAAAGCTATTATTATCCCCATTTTACTGGTGAGAAACTGAGGCAAACAGAGTTAAGTGACTTGCTCAGGGTCAAACAGCTAATACATATCTAAAGAAGGGTTTGAACTGAATCTTTGTGACTCCAGGACTCATGCCATATCCATTGTGTCCTCTACCCATTTAGAAAGATACACATACAACTATAAATCAGAATTAATCTAGCTTCATTACAGAATGTTTTAAAGAGTCGGAGGAATTATCAATCTAAATAAGAAAAAGAAAGCCAAGCTTACAACCAATGATCCCTACAGATGTGACTTCAAAGTCAGAAATCTAAGGTGCCAAAAAATACAGGCAAGTCATTTAAAGAGGAAGTTTAGAATTATTTACAGTTTGTAGAAGGGGAAGATCTGGGCACTCAGTGCTAACCAGGAACAACCTTTTAGTTATAACTGCCCGCACGCCATTGTAGCCAACCTGAACAGCAGCAGCATTTCTTTGTAGCTGAGAATAACTTTAATCACATCTGTCTTTTCCAACAGTTTCTGAGGGCAAGGGAATCTGACCGGTTACGCCAACGAGCTTGTAAGTCTATTTATCTTCTTTTTTCTTTTCTTATGCTTAAAAAAAATTATGGAGACAGCTAGGTTGCGCATGGATAGAGCACTGGCCCTGGAATCAGAAGGGTCTGAGTTCAAATCCAGCCTCAGACACATGACGCTTACTAGCTGTGTGACTCTGGGCAAGAAACTTAATCCCAATTGCCTCACCAAAAAAAAAAAATATGACAGTAGTAGCTTCGAGGCTGTTCCTCAAATATAGGGCATACACAGGGGGAAAAAAATTAGCAAATCCCCATCCCAGGTATTAGGACCAATGAAAATGTTTGTTGAGTGGATTCTGGTGGGCTTCATGCCCAAACTACCTTTGCTTCAATTTCACCAGGGGTCTGCACCAAAGAAATGATCTGCCCTATTCCCTATTCCCAGGAGGCATAGCCAGGGCATTGCTAGATACAGAGGACTAAAACAAGTGTCTAAGAGGTGGGCCTTTGCAAAAAGGGCAGCCGAATACAGAGGACAGAGCACTGGAGTAAGCATCAGAAAACCTGGGTTTGACTCTCAGCTCTGCAACTCGTCAAGTCACCACAGACAAATCTACAAAGCTTTATGAACCTCATTCTCTTTATCTATAAGGCAATTTGGCCTAAGAAGTAAAGTGACATAAAGAGCCATGGACTTTAGGAGTCACAGGTCCTGGGTTCAAATCCAAACCCTGCCACTTACTATCTGTCTGACCATGGACAAATCACTTACCCTCTCTCTGGACCTTAGGATCTTTATCTATAATATGAGGGTGTTGGGCTAGATGGTCTCTAAGTTCCTTTCCAGCTTTAAGTCTATGACTCTATTCAGATAAGTGGTTCAAGTGCGGTCAGGGGACCCTTTCAGGGTATCCACAAGGTCAAAACTATTTTCATAAGAATACTAAGACATTTTAATTTCCAACATGGCCAATATCACAAATATATAACAAAAATATAACAAAAACTCTTGTGGGGAGGGGTTCCCAATAATTTTTTATGAGTGCAAAGGGGTCCTGAGACCAAAAACTTTGTGAACCAAAAGGTTAAATGTGCTCCAAGTCCTATGATGTCTAAATTTTGCCCAAAGACCCTTTTTGGAAGAAAGGGTGGAGGGTTTATGAGTTGAGTCACCTCTCAGGACAATCAGAAAAGAGGTCACTCAGAGTAAAAGGTGTGCACAACGACCTTGATTCTGCTCAGCCAACGATACCTCATCTTTTTAGTGTCGTGAACTCCTCAGCATTCTGGTGAAACCCATGGACCACTCTCAGAACAATGCTTTTAAATACATAAAATAAAATGCACAGGATTACAAAGGCTATCAATGATATTGGTATTAACTTATCAAAACACTTTTTAGAAAGGTCATAGGCCTGAGGGAAAAAATTGGACTAGGCCTTCTGTGCCACAATGCCTAGAATTAAAGGAATCACAGGGTTAACAACAGAGGGAAACAACTCCTCTGAGGATCAGCAGGTACAGACCACTGAAATTCTCCATCATTGCCTCAAGCATACCACTCCTAGGTCACCCACCAAGTTGTCCAGTCATTTTTCAGTTGTGTCTGACTGTCTGTGACCCTATTTGGGGTTTTCTTGGCAAAGATACTAGAGTGGTTTGCCATTCCCTTCTCCAGCTTATTTGACAGGTGAGGAAATTGAGGCAAACAGGTTTAAGTCACTTGCCCAGGGTGACACAGCTAGATTTTAATTAAGAAAGATGACTGTTCCTGACTCCAAGCCCGGTGTCCTCCTATCATCACACTTCCAGGCAGAGCTACAAACCTCTACTGTTAGCCTAAGGTAAACTAGGACATGCATAAATTATGTTTTGTCTTCTGTTGCAGATATACCCCCCAGGTTTAATACAGATAAGCCGAGAGCACACCTGACAGGTAATTTTTCTTCGTTGGCAATAAGTCATTCCCTAGAAAACAATCAACTGAGATACATGGCCAGAGAGAAGAAATTTGGGGGTACTAAGCATTGAACATTCCCTGTGATTGGGACAGTATGACTTTCTTTGAGGGTTTAGGAGCAGAAGCCAGGTTTCAGAACTACAACATATCATCAGTGGAAAGGGGCTCCTCTGGGAGGACATACCCTCTATCAGTGGAAATCTACAACTACTCTGCATCTTACAGGCTCAGACAGTTGGCTTGTACATTGAGGTTAAGTGATTTGCCCAGAGTCGTACAGACAGTATGAAAGGTTTGGAAAGGACCTAAGAGGATATCAAATCCTACTCCTCCTTTCCACGGGGTTTAGGGAGGAGTCCTCTCTACATCTGCTCTTTGATGCCCAGGGCAAGCAAAAATATTTTAACTGCCCACAAATGTTTCTATTTTGCAAAAGGACCCCAGGGGAACCCTCTGAGTGTATCAGGGGCAGAATATGAAACCAGCTTTCCTGCCTTCGAGTTTCCTTTCTCATCATCTCACCAAACTGCCTCACATATGGTATAAATTAGGATGGAAAAATAGCCACGCCCTGAAATAGCCTCAATGTTTCATTTTAAGGATTTTCCAAAGTTGTAGGATATGAAGGATATCGGCTTCAAACTGAGAATCACATCTCTTCAGAAAAAAATCTTTCAAGTCTGGGATTTCCAGTTCTTCTGTCTTATGAATGAACAGGACAAAAGTGTTACACGAGAAAAACCCTTAGCATTTAAACTCTCAGGGCTTTGAGCAAATTATTAGTAGTAGTAGTAGTATTACCAAATGCAGAAGGGCAGAGGGATTTCCTGAGGGACTGAAGGGTACGGTTTTCCTATCCAATTCCAAGAAGTGGAAGTATGGGAAAATTAAAGCAATAGCCTTGGTTCTGCTAAGCACCACTTCACAAAGGCTAGGACCATGGCTTCTCTTCCTAAGTCCTTGGCACAGGGTTCTGTGCACAGTAGATAAATACATATCTAGTGAATTAGGGGGGAAAAAATCAAAATAACCTTAATACATATATGTACATATAGACACACATATAGACACATACTGTTACAAAATCAGCTTTTTTCCAGACACAAAAAAAATCAGGATTATTGGTATAGAGGCACAGTGCCTGCCCTTCATTGTGTTCTGCAATTCAGGACTCCAAATTTTGTCCCCAGCTTAGAAAGGTATCTTTCCAAAATCTTTCATTCTTGCTGAGCTATGAGGGTACATCTAACTTAGTGACTGTCACTTATTTCAATATAATAATAATAATAAAATATTATAATAATAATAATTAACAATTACACAGTGCCAACGTAGCACACAACAAGAGTTTATATAGTGCTTACTATGTACTAAGCACTATACTAAGTGCTTTACAATTATTATCTAATCCTCAGGATAACCTTAGGAGGTATTATCCCCATTTTACAGTTGAGGAAACTGAGGCAAACAGAGATTAAGTGACTTGCCCAGGGTCATACGGCATAATAAGTGCCTGAGTATAGATTTGAACTAGTCTTCCTAACTCTAGACTCAGTGCTCTAACCATGTTAATATGTTAACAAGCTATAACATCAGGGGCTTGGTAATGCTTCCACCCACACAGATTGCAAGCCACTGCAATTTAACCTAAATTCTTCAAGAATTACTACAGTCAAAAAACTCATCACCCTGAATCCCTGGTGAAAAGTCTCTCCAAAGTCAATGAGATTGTTCTCATACTCAAAGTCTTTAGTACTTGGAAGGAAGGACCACCACAAGTATAGACTTTAAGAGCCTAGCATGCCTTCCTCATCACAACAAGGCCTCACTGACCAGTGGGAAATTCTTTACTTCCACACCAATCAGCTGTTCTTCTGCAGACTACCCACATAGTGCCTGAGATGGAGAGCACAAAAAAAAAAAAACAGTAATAACTTGCCTCAGAAACACACCAGAGAAGGTTTTGAGTCCAAGCAAGACATGCAAAAACACATTCAACAACATCTACTTCCTCTCCAATTAATTTTGGGTTTGTTGGGGGTTTTTGCTTTGTTTTTGAGGATTGTGGTTGTTGAGTTGTTTCAGTCACGTCTGACTCTTTGTGATCCCATTTGGGGTTTTCTTGGCAAAGATATTGGAGCGGTTTGCCATTTCCTCCTCCAGCTCATTTTACAGATGAGGAAACTAAGGCAAACAGGGTTGAGTGACTCGCCCAAGGTCACACAGCTAGCATGTGTCTGAAGCTGAATTTGAACTCATGTCTTCCTGACTCTAGGCCTTGCACTCTATCCACTGGGCCACCCAGCTGCCTCTTATAGCGTTGCTTGAGGTTAAATAACTTGATGAAAAATCACAGAGCATTTATAAGAGGCCAAAGTTGAAGTCAGACTTCTCTGACTCTGAGACAGGATCTTTAGCCACCATACCATATTGCCTCTCAATGAATTTTGTTCATTTAGGACAATTTTTTTTATTTTTTAAGATCTAAGTAATTAGCTTTTGTATAGAATATTTTGTAACCAAAATATCCCTAAGGCCTCCCTGTGACCTTTTTCTGTGATCCTTCCTGGATGCCTTATCAAGGGGTGCATTCCTTCAGAATGAAAATCAGACACATTTAAATATACATGGTTGTTGCCACCTGCCAGAAGGAACGATTGAAATTGAGTAGCTTAGACACCATTACACATTAACCCGACCAATTCAAAGGCGATCTCAAGAAGCTAGTTACTTGTATTCAACGCTCTGACCTTCCTTCTGTGATTACTTTATAAGCATTAACTTTACTAAGCAACTGAGAGTCAGATGAAAAATATCACAGACAAAGAAAAAGGAGACTCCTATAGTAGCTAATAAGAATGCGTTCCTATTTTTTGTCGGACATCTCTTCTTTTGCAGGAGAGATATCCACAGATCACTTATCACAAGGGAAGACCCTCTCACACTTTGTGAGAATGTGTGTGTTTGTGCATGGGCATACGCATGCATGTCTGTTGGCTAATGACCAAATGTCAAATTGTCCCTGCAGAAGGAGAGCTGGCAAACAAGTGGAATAAGAGCTCTCTTTAAATTTCTCTGGTGAAGAATAATCAGTCACTTTAGGGAAGATTCATTGTGGATGTCAGTACATGAAAGTGTCAACTAAGCCTGGCTGCCTTTTACAAAATTGAAACATTCTTGTGGGAAGTTAAAATGTTTCTGCTTGTCCTGGGCCTTAAAGGCCAGATGTTGGGCATCTCAGGCCACATGTCATAGAGGGGATTCCTCCACAACCCCCATAGAGGAGATGGGTGGTGCCTCTAACTGAGGTTTAATGAGCTTGTGGTTCTGGTCATTTGGCTTCTATTAGAAGACCCACAATGAGGGAAAACACACAACCCTTGAAGCAGGCCATCCCCCTTTGGGACAGCTGTCATTTTTAGGAAGGCTGTCCTCACACTGAGCTCAAATCTTCCGCTCTGACTCCTACTCATTGCTCCTCACGCTTCTTCCATATAATAGCCCTACAAGTATCTGAAGACAGTCATCACGTCCCCTCCAGCTCACCCCTTCTCCCGCCGAACATTCCCATTTCCTTCAACCAATACTTCTAACACTCTCTCTCCAGTCCTCTCATCTTTCTGGCCCCTCTCTTATGGATGCACTGCAGACTTTCATTGTCTTTTTTAAACTGTGGTGCCAAGATTTGAACATTGCACTCCAGTTGTGGTATAATCAAGGTGGAGTACAGGGAAACTGGGAGTGTGCCGGAGCCAACTCATCCTCAGCTTTCAAGAGCTGATTGTTAAATTTTCAGTGTGAGCATTTGCTGATCAGAAACCAGCAACACTACAAATCAGAGCTTGATTTGTTTTCTTGATTTTCTGTATTTAAGAAAAGTTAGCCAGGTGGCATAGTGGATAGAGTGCCAGGCCTGGAGTCAGGAAGAATCATCTTCCTGAGTTCAAATCTGGCCTCAGACATTTCCTAGCTGTGTGACCCTGGGCAAGTCACTTAACCCTATTTGCCTTAGTTCCTTGCCTGTAAAATGAGCTAGAAAAGGAAATGGCAAACCACTGAAGTATCCTTGCCAAGAAAACCCTAAATGGGGTCATGAAGAGTCAGACATAACTGGAACAACTGAACAACAACAAAAAATTAAGAAAGCAATGCCAAAAATCTTAATAATGCAGATTTCACTTTAAAATATCATGGGTAGACTTATTTTTTTCAGAGACATACTTATTAAACATTTCCCAGCATACCACTGAATAGAAGTACTACCTCCCTTCTCTTTGCCCCACTTCATGTAACTATGGGGATTATAATTGTCCAACCTACAATAAAAGAAACTGAGACAGAACTCTGAGCCAATGGTACTTTATTGGTCCATGGTCCCCTCTAATGAAGTGAACCTCAGATCTTCCTCATGATCTGAGATGCTCCCTTCTTCCAGGGCCTGATTTTTATAAGGCTTGATGCCTGAACATTCTAAAGAGACACTCTACCCACTGAACCACTTATGAGTACCAAAAAGTCTCCCAGTCATCATGTTCAGTATCTCAGTCAAGAAGACATCCAAATTTATTGTCTTAGGATTACTCAGGGTTTTAACCCTGCCCTAGTTCTGCTAATTAGGGCAGATGCATTGGAAGCCTCAAAACACCAGATAATTGTGAGTCTCCAACTCTGAATCAAAAATCTACAACTTGAGGGGCAGCTAGGTGGTGCAGTGGATAGAGCACCAGCCCTGAAGGCAGGAGGACCTGAGTTCAAATCCAGCCTCAGACCAAACATTTGACACTTATTAGCTGTGTGACCTTGGGCAAGTCATTTAACCCCAATTGCCTTAAAAAAAATAATAATAATCTACAACTTGGTAAAACCTGCCCCAGCCCATGTTCCCCTGACACATCATTCAAGAAGCCAGAGTCACCTCCATGCCATAATGGGGGCAACAGAGGAGGATTTTGGTTAACAAAAGTGCTGTATATGTGTTATTGTTGTTGTTACTATTCTTATCATTACCTTATTTTTCATCTTATTCAATGGAGATCAGATGGAAAAAGTCCCAGCACTGATCACTATGCTGCTGGCATTCTTTTATATTGAATATTCTATAGAGTCTTGCAGAAGTAGGGAAAATGGCTGCTTTTTGTAATGAAATAGAAGTATTAGGATGTAGGCTCGCTAAAAACATCCTTAATGCAACTCCAGTAGCAAAGAAGAAGAGGAAGGGTAGGAGTAAGCACCTCATCTTTTTCCCACAAGTTTGATTTTTCCTATTTTAAAAGATTTTTATTCCATGTGGCTTTGAGATTATGAGTATTTATGTGACAATATCTAATAAAATCATTCATTTTTATTGAATTGATGTGATATCCAAGTGATTGTGGGCAGCAGCTCCATCTATAATAGCTCTATCTATGCTCTGATTCCAGTAAGTTTCTTGGTTAAATTCTCAAGGATATTTTGACATCTATATTTGTAGCATGTGTATTTATCATCATGACAACTCAATGAAAGATAGAAAGTTTCTGATATACAATTTGAACCACTGGGTCACATCTTGCTGGCATTCTTTTATTATTTGTACTTACATTTAGCACCCAGTTACGTGGTAGGTACTAAATCTTTGCAGCCTGCAGGGACGTGCTGTATAGTTTCTTCTGTTCCCTTGTATAATCTGCATTGATCACCAATGCAGGCTCCTTAAGGATAACTCTTCTGTAGTATCTGGTGGTGAAAATCTGGTCCTAAATTCCCATCATAAACAATTCTGTTTCCAGAAACATATCCACATCTCTCAGTGAACTATTTCACTCTTCTTTGTCAACATATATTTGACTGAGTTCATGGGCATGTCACTTAGGGAAGGATTTTTGATGACACTTAGATTTTAGCTTTTTCATCATCTCCCTAGGTAACTACTTCTGGTTACATTCAACAAATCCAATGCTGCGTACTAGTTCTCAACATTTACTATTGCTTGACAAAATAATGTCTGTCGGTCTATTCTAAAAACATTTCTATAGGTTTTGGACATGTTAATCATGTGCTCTGAGAATCCCTGTCTATCCTCTTCCTCCTTTTGTGTAAGAATTAGTCATTATTCCATAGTTGCGCTGCCTCACAATAATGAGTCCTGTGTTTTATTAATATTGTATGAGCTTTTATTAGGATATTTTTCAAATCAGCTATAGTCCATTTTATTGTTCAGAAGGCATACATTAAGACTTACATTGCCTAAGTATCATTGCTTTCAATATAATCTTCCTATTTATGATGAAGGAAGGAAGGAAGGAAATAAGAATTTTTTTTAAGTGTCTACTACAGTTAGCCCTTCCACATCGCAGGGGTTGGGGTGTGGCACCCCACAACCTGGAAAATCCGCATAAAATTTTTTTTGCCTTCCCTTCGTACCAGAGAAAAAGTCTGAATTTTTTTTCTTTTTCCTTTATGGAATATTTACAGTGCCTTACTATAAAACTGGGGTTGATATTATACAATACTATACACATATTTTATGCATTTCTGAATTTCTAAATTTTTTTCTGTGATATGTGTGGGCCTTCATGTGTTGTTTCCGGCTTCCGCAAAACTCCCCAAAATTTCCCATTTAATTTCTTATGCTGACCTGCGATATACTGAGATCACAATAGGGAAAGTTATGATATGGAAGGGACAACTGTATTTCTAGGTACTGTGCTAAGTACTTTACAAACATGATTTCATTTGATCCTCACAACAACCCTGGGAGGTAGTTGCTATTATTGTCCCCACTTTATAGTCGAGGAAACTGAAAGAAACAAAAGTTAAGTGTCTTGCCCAAGGCAGTGTCACACAGCTAGTAAGTGCTCAAGTCTAGATTTGAACTCAGGTTTTCCTGCCTTCAGATCCAAAGCTCTATCTACGGTGCCACCTAGCATATCTGATGAAAATGGTGATGAGTGTAGTTTTCTGAAAGCTGAACGATGTTGGTGCTATAGAAGAGGTGAGATGTACTTCCCTCTTTTCTTTGTAGTTTTGGGGGATTCTGGGTATAAAATATTTCCTATACTTTCAGACATAGTAGATGTGTTGGTTGGATTTGGTTTTTTTGTGTGTTTGTTTTGTTTTTGGTGAGGCAATTGGGGTCAAGTGACTTGCCCAGAGTCACACAGCTAGTGACTGTTATGTGTCTGAGACTGAATTTGAACTCAGGTCCTCTTGACTCTAAGGGCAGAGCCCCATGTGGATTTGTTTAACTGCTCTTTTCACCTTCTTTCTTTTTTATTCTTTCTTTCAAAGGATGGGTCCCTGGATGTGGGAGGGGGAGGAATATATTTGAAAATTAAGGCAGCATAAAATCAAAAGATGCCACTAAAAAATGAAAAAAAAAAAGAGTAAAGGTTCATTGAAAGGAAGGCTTTGTCCTTAATGACCTGTCATTTATTTTACAGGGGTCTGTTGATCCCATGTGAGTAAAGTGACCTTATTTTGGTTTCTCTCTAGCTGTTCGACAGAAGTCTATGACTCCCATGAAAGATTCATGGCCGGCGCTCCAGTGGGAACATAAACTTGGCTCTGCCTTCATCAAAAACCAAATGAATTACACCAACAACTTCCTGGTGATCCCAGAGTCGGGAGACTACTTTGTTTATTCACAAGTTACTTTCCGAGGCAGCACGCCAGAGTGCGGTAAAATCAACCAAAAGAATCGGTCCACCAAGCCCAATTACGTAACCCAGATCATCACCAGAGTTACTGACAGATACCCGGAGCCAACACAGCTTTTAACAGGGACCAAGTCAATCTGTGAGATAGGCAGCACGTGGTTTATTCCAATTTACCTGGGGGCTGTCTTTCCTATGCAGGAGGGGGATAAGCTGATGGTGAATGTCAGTGACATTTCTCTTGTGGATTATACCAAAGAAGACAAAACATTCTTTGGGGCTTTCCTGTTATAAGGACTAAGGAAGTTGTCGCTGTGAAAGAATATTCTGTTTTCATTGAATATTTCCAATTCCTAATTTTAATCATTTGTTTGTACTTAAACCCAGAATACTTCATGAAGGGGGAGGGGGGAGAAGGGGAGAGAAATTCCACTGTCTGTAGTTTAGGTGGGAAGTTTTGAGCTAGGAAAGCACTTTATAATATGCCTAAAAGATGAGAATTCTAAGCAAGATAGCAAGAGAAAGTGTCATGGAACACAGAACCTCAGAAGTAGAAGAGATCGTGGGGCATAGAATGCTGAGTTAGAAGTAACCTTAAAACACAGAATGTCAGGATTTGAAGAAACTTCAGAACACAGAATTCTTTAGCCAGAAGGAAACTTAAAATGCAGAATGTCCAAGCTAGAAGGAAGCTTAGATAACAAAATGCTAGAATACAGATCAGAACTAGAAGGGGCCGTTTTATAAATTATCTATTCTAACCCCTTGATGTTTTACGTGGGGAAACTGAGGTCTGAAGAAGGGAAATGACTCACTCAAAGTCACACAGTCAGCTGATAGAAAAGCAGAAAGATTACTACTTGAATAGCCCCTGAGGGGAAAAGTAGGTACTAGGGAAGGAAATAAGCACTTAAATAGCTCCTCTGTATTCCAGGCATAATATAAATATAATCTCATTAGATCCTCACAACAATCCTAGGGGAATGTACTATAATTATTATTCCCATTTTACAGTTGAGGAAAAAGGCAAACAGAGGTTAAGTGATTTGCCCAGCATCGAATAGCTAGGAAGTGTTACATGACAGATTTGAACTCAGATCTTCCTGACTCTTGACCCAGTACTCTATTTTCCACGCCACCATCTAGCTGCCCACTGAACAGAAGAGCAAGAGGAAAATTCATTAAGAGGGATGGTTTGATGTGTGCCCTCTCTGTCCCCTCTATCAATCTCTGATTCCTCATTGGTAAAGTAAGGGGGTTGGACTAAGATGCTTGACATATAGAATAAAACACTTGGTTTCAAGTCAGGGAGATCCAGGTTCATATCCCACTTCAGATACTTACTGTGTGACCCCAAGCAAGGCACTTAACCTCTCTGTGCCTGTTTCCTTATCTGTAAAATGAAGACATTGGCCCATAAGGTCCTTTTTAGTTGTAGCTCTATGGTTTAAGATCCCAGGATCCCTTTAGTCCTAAATTCTATGAGCCCCTAATCTTCAAGAAAATGGGTTTCCTTGATGTTCCGCTGTATAGATTTGTCATTAAGTAATTTGAGTTATTTCTTTCAGCTCAACTTTGTGAATCGCCATGCATTTTCTCAAGGTTTGGGTTGGATGACCTTTAGCAATCACAATGTTTTCACAATTGAACTTTGAGATCTCCTTGAAAGTGAAAAAGCAAGAAAACATTCATGAGGAACTCTGCCAAACAGGGATTTTTCTCATGCCAGATGTGGAATGCACCCAGAGTTGTGTTTTCTCATCATGACATGCATGCACATGACAATGAGTGAATCAAGAGGTGGACATGGGCAACAAAAAGCAAGCACCATACAAAGAAACCCCTTCTGAGTGCAGGAAAGGGCACTTGCTATGGCAGAAAAGTAATCTGGCCTTCAATGCCAAAAACATCAATTCACTAAATCCACATCTTCCACCGGTTCCAAGAACTAAAGAAATGACATCTAGACCTGTTATTCAAGTTGGCGACTTCTTACCTCACTCAAAGATGGTGGGAACATTAAAAATCTTCAGAAAGCTCACTGCAGAAATACCAGTGCCCACCTTGTTCCCACTCCAGCCAGGTATATTTAGCCTTTGTTACCTGGAAGTTCATAGAAGAAAATCAACTTAGAAAATGCATGGTCAGTCACCAAACCTGAAGAAAGTCAAAATGGAAGCTAAGTCTAAGTTGGGGCTGGATTTGGGTTATTTATTTCTTTGTTTAAATCTGTTCATATTTATTTTATCATCATTGTAACAGAGGACAAAGTGTTGTGGGGGGAAGGATTTATAATCTTTAACAAGGCTTCATATTATGATTAGGAACCCCTTGATAATGAAAGAATATCCCTTGAAGGAAAGATAAAAGAATTGAAGAATTTAGAGCTAGAGAGAATTTTAGAGGTCATATAGTCAAACACCTTCATCTCACAGTTAGGAAAACCAAAATGAAAAGTGGTTAAAATGTCTCATTTGAGGTGACTCAGATAGTAAATGGCAGGGCAAGGATTTGAACCCAGATCCTCCAGGTCCAGAGGTAACATACCTTCCACTATACCACAGAGCCAGGAGTGGGGAAATGCTTGCCTTTTCACTTCCCATCATCTCAGTTCCCATCCTGACCATAGCATTCTGTTGCCTTTGGTATGCCATCTCTCATGGATGAGTCCCAACAGAAGAAATTTGCTGAACTGAGCTGGGGGAGGGGTTGGCAGGACAAATACCAACCAAAGAGATATGGTTGAAGACAAAAATGTGAATTTACACTCCTGTTTGTGAAGCTGGTAAGTTAAATGTCCTTCTTGCATTATAAACATTATCCCCTCTGTTGACCTGCCTTTATAAAATAATGCAGATAGATTAGATCAGGTGTTCTTCACTTGGACCCACAGACCTAAGGTTTCAAGCGATACATGAACTTAGATGTGAAAAACAATGCCTCTAACTGAAATTTAGCATTTCTTTCAATTATTTAAAAACATAATTCTGAGAAGTCCATACTCTTCACCAGACTGCCAAAGAAGTCCATAACACAAAATAAGGTTAAGAATTCCTTACTAAGTGACTTCAATGGTTTCTTCTAACTCTAAATCCCATGAGCCCCTGATTCTCCTACAGTGTTTCTTGCTCTCTCTTGATTGAAGTGATATGGAAGGTTGCCTAAGGAGATTTCCTTAAAATGGGAAAATCTTCCCAAAATCTTAAGGGGAAATCACAAAAGAGGACTGCAAAGCAAGAGCCCTTGTATACATTTGCTCTTCTATGTCAGGTTTCACTGAATGGATCAGGCTAAGCAAAGAAATCTTGTCTGGACATGGATGTTTACAATAATAGGACTTCCCTACTACACATCAGGAAATGAGGCTCTGTGAAACCCCTACAATTAATTTATTTTTGTCTCATTTATAAGTTTAAGTTATTTGTCAGCCTTCCCCTTCCGTCTTTCATAGAAAGATGGAATTTGGCATCTAGCTTAGCTCAGGTATTTAACAGCCATTTCATATAACTATTCAAGATCCATTTGTCAGTGCATAAATGTGTCTGTGGTGTATGTACACATAATGGTAAGTGCTCTACTGTTTTAGTGTGGCATGGAGGACATTTCACAGGTGACCAGAAGTTGATTTTTTTTTCTACTCAAATAAGCAAGCATTTATCTACTATGCGCCGAGTGCTGTGCTAAGTGCTAGAAATAAAAAGAAAGGCAAAAATCATCTGTTCTTCAGGTGCTCACAGTTTACTGGGTGAGTCAAAGTGAAAACAACACCACGAAAACAAGATATATACGAAGAAACTGGAGATAATCTCAGAGAGAAGGCACTGAGATTAAGGAGGAGTGACACTGACTTCTTGTAGAAGGTGAGACTTTATCTGAGACTTGAAGGAAGCCAGGGAAGCCGGGAGGCAGAGATGAGGAGAGAAAGACTTCTAGTTGTTGGGAACATGTGACATCTACGTCAGCAATTAACCTGCCCCCAAAAAAAATGTACTTATAAGAATAAATTGTAGGAAAAGAGATTAAATCTAAGGGATATACTCAAGGCACAGATTTAGGAAATTAATTTGACTCTGCTACTAATGAATAGAACTCTCTATACATCCCTATAGATACATATAACTATATAGATATATTCATGCAAATGTATACAAGTATGGTCCCATACATCCGTGTGTGTATGTGTGTGTGTGTGTGTATGTGTGTGTGTATATACACACACACACACATCAAAGTGTATTTAGAAACTTAAACAGCAGATGTTTTGGTTTAGACCTGTGATTTTGTATGTGTTGGTAACTACAGGTAAAGGAAATTCCTTCCACCAAAAGAGATCAGTAACTCAGGGGCAGCTAGGTGGTACAGTGGATAGAGCACTAACCCTGGAGTCAGGAGGACCTGAGTTCAAATCCAGCCTCAGACATTTACTAGCTGTGTGACCCTGGGTAAGGTGAGTCCCTTAATCCCAATTGCCTCAAAAAAAAAAAACTGAAAAGATCAGCAACTCATACATACCTTCTAACATTGGAAAGTTGTCAGGTGAATAGAGCCTAAATAACTTACTAATGGTCACACAACCAGTGTAGGTCAGAAGCAGGACTCGAGCCTTGGCCTTCCTAACTACAAGGCTGTCTCTGTTCACTACTCCAGGCTGCCTACCCTGATTTTAGTTACTACTTGGGTTTACAGGGAATTCACTTTGCTGGTTCTGAGGATAGAGATAAAACAAACAAACAAACAAACAAATCCTCATCTATGGATACCTAGACATTATTCTACACATTTTCAACCCCAAGGATTCAAAACACAGTGTAATCCAACTATCTAAATCTCCTCTCTACTCAGATTCCTAGAATGTCAGAGCTAGGAGAGACCTTGAGAAGTAGACTCACAGAATTCTGTGATATAGAATATTAGAGCTAGAGAGGAGCCTCAGAACACAAAATGAGTGGATTTGGAAAGAGCCTCTGAGACCATCTTAGTCTGACATAAGCCCACCTACAGATAGGGAAACAGAGGATGAGAGCAAAAGTGATTTGGCCAACATCAGTCATTTTCCCACTCTACCTTTGCAACTGATTAAAGTAACTACAAATATAGCTATTGCTATTTTTTGTCACAAAACATATAAAGGTTAAGGTGGTACATGAGATCAGATAGTTGATAATAAAATCCATGTATTTTCATTGGTTTTATGTTTTATGTTAAAACGTCACATACCCAATGTAAAATGCATTTTATATATTGATGGACCTGTACCTCACTGATATTGTTTCCATATCTTCATGCACTACTGTACTAATGCTAATTAAAATAAATGTAATATTGTGTTTAATAGATAATGAGTTTTTTAAATGGCATTGAAACCCATGAACTATTTCCTGTTTAATAAATGCTTTCTTCTGTCTGTGGATCTGTGGAGTTTTAATGCAATGAGAGAACCTATTAGCAATGGAGATATTGAATCTCAAGATAGATTAATTATATGACACCAAAAGCTACATCAACCCAGACAAAGCAAAGGAGAGAATTAGACTAATGACCCTGATAAGAAATAATAATTAGGAATTAGCCGCTAATCATCTCTACTTTCCACTTTTACCAGGGGATAGTATATCAAAGAATATAAAGTCAGTTTTCAAACGAACAGACACAAGCTTTCAGCCACCATGTAAAAATTACTCCAAATCATTAATAATTTGAGAAATGCAAATTAAAACAACTCCAAGACGCCATCCCACATCTATCAGATTGACAAAGATGATAAAAGAGGGGGAAAAAAGTAATTTTTCACAAGACTGTGAGATGGCAGGCACACTCATACACTCTTGACAAACCTATGAAGTAGTTCAACCAATCTGGAAAGCAACTTGGAACTATCCCCACAAAGTCACTAAACTGTGCATGCTCTTTGATCCCGTGATACCACTACTAAGAATATACCCCCAATAAGGTCAAGGACAAAGGGGAAAGGGGCCCACATGTACAAAAATATTTATAAGAGCACTTTTTGTTGTACTGAAGAAACAACTTGGGTGTTCATCAAGGTGGGGATGGCTGAACAAATTGTGGTATATGGATATAACGGATATATTATGTTATATAATATAATACAATACAATACAATATATTGCACTATAAGACAGGATCAGTATTAGAGAAACTTGGAAATACTTATATAAATTGGCACAGTGAAGTGAGCAGAAGTGAAGTAACCAGGAGAGTAATTTACATGATGACTGAAATACTGTAAATGAGTACAGCTTAGGAAGATTTTGGAAAATCTGACCAAAGAAGGGACCAGCCATGACTTCAGAAGACTAATAATTAAGCATGCTAACAACCTCTTGGCAGAGAAGTAATGGACTAGAGAAACATACATTTGCAGACATAGCTAACGTGTAGATTTGTTTTACTCAACTAAGTTTATTGGTTAAAAGAGGCAGCTTCTCCTGGGAAAGAAAGGGAATTAGAGGGTGGTAATGAGCTGAAATGCCAAGAAAACCATGGACAGAGTCTATGGGGTTATGTAAAATCAACCACAACTGAAAGACTGAACAGAAACACCAAGCTGAAACGGGGCTCTAGGCCCTAGCATAGAGTAGGGACTATGTCAGTCCTGGATTACTGAACGACTGGTAGACAACCAGCATTTGGGGCTGAACTTTGAAATTCCTTCCTTAGATCCCAGTAGGTGATGCCAAAAAAAGAAGGAAAGAACATCAATGAAACATTTTTTAAAATACACAGATGATAGCAGAAGGAAGTTCAGAAGGGTCAAACACAAGCAGGGAAGGTGTTTTGTTTTGGGGTGGTTTTTTGCTATCATTTTAAATGTAATATGCACTTTAAAAAACTACATATAACAGAAGTTCAGTCTCTTTTCTCATTATGTACATTGGAATGTTCATGTTTGTTGATGTTTATTAAGCTCATCATTGTTTAGTCATTTCAGCTGTGTCCACCTCTTCATGACCCCACTGGGGTTTTCTTGGCAAAGATATTGGAGTGGTTTCCCATTTCCTTCTCCAGCTCATTTTACAGATGAGGAAACTGAGGTAAACAGGGTTAAGCGACTTGCCCATAGTCACATAGCTAGTAAGTGTCTGAGGCCAGATTCAAACTCAGAAAGATGGGTCTTCCTGGCTCCACGCCCAGCATTCTATTTACTGTGCCACCTAGCTGCCCATTAAGTTCATAGTAGAAAATAAAATTTAAAGAGAACCTGAAAAGGAATGAAAGTTAGGTTGTCATGGTAATTTATTGGGTGGTTTTGAGGAAGATCATTGAGTTTTGACATTTCTTCCAAATCTGAGATTGAATGATCCATGAAGTTCTAGTGTGAGCATGGAGGAACAGAGGGGAAGGTAACCAGAATGATGTCTGAAGGACCTAGGGATGTTTAGCCTAGTGAAGAGAATACTTAGGGGAAACATGATAGCCATCTTCAAGTGTGTGAAGAACTATGGAAGAGGGTCTAAATTCATTTTTTTTCTTGGCCCCAGAGGACAGGACAGAACTTGGTGGAAGTTGCCAAAAGACTTTGGTTTGAGGTGAGGAAAAACTTCCTAAAAACAATTATAACTGTCCAAACGTAGAATAAGCTGCCTTGGGACATAATGGGTTTCTCATTGCTATAACTCTTCAAGGCAAAGCAAAAAGTAAAAACTTGTCAGATCTTAATAAACATTAATCCCATTCCAACTAACTGAAAGGCATTGTACTAGGTGGTGGAGATATCAAAACTAAAAAAAAAAATACTGTATTAACTACCTACTATACTTAACAAGATGTTGAACTATGCACTCCAAGGTACCTTCCAATTTTGAGATAATGCAAAATTGAGGCTCAAAGATGGTCTCTAAGGATGCTTCAAGCCCTAAGTCATTTGTTATACAACTAGTGTCCAAGTGAAGACTTGAATTTAAATTTTTAATTCCAAATCCAGCATCCTTTCCACCACACCACACCATCTTTCCTATGTAAATGAACAGTGTTTCCTTCTTAATGCAGAAAACCATCAAGAAATCCTATGCAGATTTCCATTTTCTGCCTTCCTCTACCATCATCCCCAGTCCCACCCAACTACTCATAGTGCCAATCCCCCACCAATCCTTCCCTCCAGAATTAAGGAAAGGAAATCAAGTTTAGAAAAGCATGAGATTTGTTTAAAATGGCCAGAGGATTCCAGCACAATCATACCATATGGCTTAGGATTTTTTTAAAGTTAGCTAATACTGGGACATGTAATATCCCAGAGTACATCTTTTATGAGCTAAGGACACAAGGGAAATCCTCATGATTCATTTTGTCATCTAAAAATTCCTACTTCTTGCTTTGAATTCCTGAGATCAAAGGAAGTGATTTCAGAATTCAATACCAGTCATCTGCCAGTTCATCAGTCAACCAGTTTCCTAGCATCTACTCTATTTAGTGGCCACTTCAGTGTTTTGTTTGGCACATCCCCATGTCTGCACACTGCCTTAGCTCTCCACCTCTCAGGAAAATTCTCCTACTGCAGCCTGGGAGTTAACAAATCAGGGTTTTTCCATCCTTCTCTGTGACATTTTCTCTGGTACTTTCCAACATATGACAATCTTGTTGGACTACTCCCATTGTCCATGAAATCTCAGATTTATCCAGTCTATTCACTGGTATATTGTGGGGCCTCTTTGGCACTTCTCCAATCCCACTCCAAGGATATGTACTTCTGATTGATGAAAGATCATGATTAGAAGGTCCCAGATCCACCATGATACTCTCTGGCTATCTTCCTGACATACCACCTCCATATACCTCACCCCCAGCTTCTAACCTGAGATATTCTGAGAATAATTATCCAATAAAAATCAATACCATTCCTGAAAAAGACAAGTCAATCAACTATCTTACAACTTTGCTCACCATTCCTTTGACCTCTCAGACCAAAACACCCTTCCCTTGCCAACACTCTCACATATGTGTTGCATTCCCCTATTAGAAGGGAAGTTTTTTAAGGGCAGGGACTGTCCTGTGTTTTGGTTGGTTGGTTATTTTTGTATTTGTATCCTTCTCCCTTCTCCTCACCACCTCCCTCTACTCCCAGCACTTTGGCACATCATACACACTTAATAAGTGTTTTTTCCATTCATTCATTCTTTTCCTCACACTTGCATACCATATAACATATATTCATGTGGAAAGGTTGTATAACATACAGTAAAAGCCTCAATTGTACATTTATATTACACTTAGTACAGAGAGTTAGGCTATCCAGATTTTCATCCCATTCTTTTTTTTTTTGGGGGGGGTGAGGCAATTGGGGTTAAGTGACTTGCCCAGAGTCACCCAGCTAGCAAGTGTTATGTGCCTGAGGCTGGATTTGAACTCAGGTCCTCCTGACT